CCATTTCGACTGGCCAAATGAAATGATTTAGTAAATTAAAATTTTATTTTAGCTAACAGGTTCAGGGTTGAACCGGTATACAACATGTTATATGTGAAAGGAAACAATTTCCAAATATATATGAAATGTTTGGAAAAGTAGGTATTTATTGAAGATAAAAATTTACATATGTTAGAGATATTCAAATCGGAAGTGAGTAATCTACTCATTATTAGTTAATATTAAATTTAATAAGATATTAAATCAAAGTTGTTGACCCAAGTAGGATAATCTAATCAGGATTTATCGATGATCTTAGAGTAAGATAGTTTGAAATAAACCATAAGAGTTTTATTTAATATGGCATGTTAAGAATATTTCACGTATGAAAAGAAAAACTTGGGCGATATATAAAAGATATGCGCTAAGTAGCACCGAGACATATACGGAGCTAGGATACGGAAACAAAACGGAGACCAAAAATGACAAAGCCAAAAATTTATAGAAACATGTATAGCATGAATATGTCAATAACAATATAAAAAATATCCATATATAAAGATAAAAATGCATAATCTCAAAATAAATATTAAAAAAATTAGTTTGATTTAAGAACAATGAAAAAATATGCTATTCCATTTTCAATGATCTAACTCATTTTCTGGAGAGAGGTTAGGAGGCAGTGAATTAGAGGGTGATTAGAGAAAAAAAAAGCCTAGTATTTGTATTCACAATTTGAACTCTTTTTTTTTTCCTTTTTTTTTTAAATATAGATTAAACACTTTAGAGACACGTTTATAATATTGGGGACACCATCTTTTTGTTCGATACGAACTTCCGATCCCATATAATCTTTTTACCTTCTCCATCAACGGCAAATTGTCTCCGTTTGTTTAAAATGTCTTGGAGACGTTTTCAAGCCGGCTCCAAACCAAAGAATGTCTTGCACGAGATTCAATGTTATGTGCTTGATTGCGATCACATTTTTGTGATCGTCCCTACTACGTTTATGAAATGTGAGATGCTTATAGAATAGAATATCCATTTTAGTTTAGTTAATTCGTTCATTGTCAATTAGTTTTGTTTTTTTTTACGTTTGAAACAATATCTGTTAAAAAAAGAATTTAAACAAAACAAAATCAAAAGAATCTGAAAAACAATAAATTATTATAAAAGATATGATTTTTGAAATGACCTGGAAAGGAACAGTCTTCTCCTTTTGAACAAGTGACCACGACGTTCCATTCTCTATTTAATAATTGTTTTCTTGTGACCAGTAAGAAAATATATGTATAAAATTTTATAGTCAACATTCAACATTCAGACCAAACAAATAAAATAAGTTAAATTAAATATCTATATATAGTTAGAGTATAACAAATGATCTAAACACCACCGATTTGAATAAGTTATCTCTTCAACAAAAAACAATGTCTGAACAAGAAGGCAAAAATGAGAAGATAGTAACTGAAGGGCAATGGACTACCGGTTTATACGATTGTCTCTCTGAAGATATCTCTACATGTAATAATTTCATTTAACTTTATAACTCTTTCTTATACTTTTTTGTCTTGTTAAAGAAACTCTTTCTTATACAAGTTTAAAGAAAATTAAATAATCGGTTTATTCATAACTATTTTTTTGGTTTTGTTTGTAAATTGTTATGAAGGCTGCTTTACATGGTTTTGTCCTTGCGTTGCATTTGGGAGGATTGCTGAGATCCTTGATAAAGGAGAAACAAGTACGTTTCTGATTTCCACTATTCAGTACTACTACTAAGAAACAATCTCACATATCGCTAATGAGATGAAATGGAATTACAAGAAAACATAGAACGGTTATTATCAATTTATTTTGAATTGGAATTTATTCACATAAACTACTTTTTGATTACAGTTCTACTATTCTTAATAGATAATTTTTATGAAGAAATTTAAAATAGTTAATATACTTTTTAAAATGAGATTGTGAGATCATTTATGCCAAAATGACGATAACAATGATTTACAGGGTTGATATAGCATATCACACATTCAAGTCGTTCATTGTTACAAATGTTTTTCCAAAACCATCTAGCAGATGTACGAAACATCACATATGACTAAACGTATAACCAGAGCCGGCTTAGAGCATGTGCTCAAGGTGCCAAAGCACTGGGTCTTTTTTTTAAAAAATAAAAAATTCTTTAGATAAAAGGATCTTAAATTTTAGAAAATTAATAGGAAATAGTCTATAATTTTGAATTTTTATGTAAAATTTGATTTTTTTTAGATTTGGGCACAAAGTCCAATATAATTTTGAAACGGGCCAGCATATAACTAAAGGTGAAAATTAGTTTGAAACTTTTACCAAGTTAATTAATTAATGGAAATGGATTAAAAAGGTGAAGGACTAGCTGGATTAATGGTGGTCGCAATGTCTAGCATTGGGTGTGGATGGTACTATGCTTCAAAATACAGAGCCAAATTGAGGCATCAATACTCTTTGCCCGAGGAGCCTTGTGCCGATGGCGCCATTCACTTCTTCTGCTGTTCATGTGCTCTTTCTCAAGAACACCGCGAACTCAAACATCGAGGTCTTGATCCTTCTCTAGGTAAACAATCTATTATCCCTTTTGCTTTTTAGTAATGATGGTCGTTTTAGTTATAAGTGTTTGTTTTTTGTCCATTGCAACTATTTTACTACAAACAAAGGGTGGCAAGGGAACATTGACACAGGAAGATCAAATAGCAAAACGCCGCCGTTTGTAGCGTCGGGCATGGACCGTTAAAGAACATCACAAATTAGTGCAAGTAATTAAACTCCATGATAACTAAATAAATAAATAAACCATGTTTTATATATGACTGGATTCTGGGAAATGAAATATATTTCTGTATGATAATATTGTGTTTGTAAATAGCTTTTCTGTTGGTAACTTTTAGCTTCTATGAAAAGTTAGGAGGCCTCATGTTTAAAAACACATATCTTCTTACCCGCCTCCGTCGCTTGTTATCTGCTTCCCTTAGCTAAAACGTTAGGCGCTAGTGAAAGCCTTCACTCTCTTATATTTACGTAATAGCTGAAACAAACAAAACATGAAGTTACACATTGTCGGCTAAAAGTACAAAGTTTAAAAACACTTATCTTTAGAACAAAATAAGACCGAAATAAGAGAGTAGTCATGTGTAGAGTTTATTAGATCATTTAAGAGCCATACAAAACTTGCAGCTAGGCATGTCAATTAGGGCCAAAGCCCACCGACTGGCCCAGCCCAGCCCTGAAAAACAAAGGACTCGGGTTTAAAAATATATGTCTAGAAAAAATCGGACTTTTCGGGCTAAGCTCGTTTAGCCTAAAGGGTTTTTTAGGGCTTAGACCGGACTCGGACCGGCCCAGAAGCCCTTAAAAAGAGATTTTTACTTCTTTTTTTTACATTATCGTTTTTTTTTTTGTCATCTAGATTTATTATTAATTGTAAATTATGAGAACTGTTACACAGACGATTCTACAACTGACAATTCCTTCCGACCCTTATTAGATCCACGACAGACTACACTTTCTTCTTCATGATCTTGATGAATACCTTCAATGATCCATGACCTAGCGACACTTCCTTCTCTGCGTAGAATCCTGGCGAACGGCTATAATTGTACATCGTTGGAGATCTCCTGCACACTTGCCTCCATTAATCTGCAAATTTGTTAATAAATCGCAATATCTGGGACTCGAACCCCAGATCTCTTGGTGTGGAAGCATTAATCAACCCTTGGTCAACCAATGGGCCAATGGGGCTTCCACAAAAACCCCCTTGAAGATTATCGTTTAATTGAGAGATTTGTTTAAAGATTTTTTTTAATAAAGTTAAAAACCCTAAACCTAGTTTTCTAATTGTGTTTTACTATTAGTATTCTGATTTTATATTTTATTTGTTGTGAGTTTAAACAACTTATTTGGATTATTTATTTAATTTCAAACTTTTTTAAAAACTAAATTGGCTTTAGTGGTTATTTAAATTTCGATTGACTCGTTTTATACATAGACTTTTTTTTCAAGAGATATTACAAATTAGAACGTTTTTTTCTCGAAAATAAAAAACCAAAAAAGCCCGTAAAGTCCTGTAACCCTGTTAGGGCCGGGCCGAACTTCAAAATATAGGTTCAGAATTTTACAAGCCGGACCGGACCGAACTCAGACATATACTGGTTTTGCGGGCTTCGGGACAGAACGGGCCGGGCTAGCCCGATTAACATGCCTACTTGCAGCCGAGAGAATTATGATGGACAAAAATGGCAATATATAAAAGAGGCAACTTCATGGGTGACTTATCCACTGCCAATAGACATTATGAAGTGAACAAACATGTTGTATTTGTTACATCAATCTTAACGAAGAAGAAGTATCGACCACCAAAATGGCCAAAATAAGAGAAAACAAAGCAAAAGTAAGAATAAGAACCGTTAAAGAACCCACTCCTTCGCTTTTATCCTATTAAAGAAGATTTTTTCACAAATAGATACAAGAAATTTATAAGTTTTTGGCCAATGGATCAATAATTAGAGATTCTTCTCCAAAAACCAAAAAAAAATGGAGACCCAGACGTTGAATAAGAAAAGCCTACCCACTTTCGCCAACGCCCAGTTACTTAATTAAGGCCTATACTGAGAACTGTAGCAAGAGTAGAAGCCTTACCACCAACTTGAATGCCATGAATTTTAGTGTTAGGATAACTTTTCTTAAATTCTTATTATTTATTTTGTACTTATCTATACTCAACGATGAAAATTTTATTGTTTATATAAAGCTTATCATAATCGAACATAAAGAAGAAGATAATAAATAAATAAAAACTGGGAATAAGATGAAGCAAGAGGAGACGATTGGTTGATAAAAACAAACAACGCTCTTATAACTTCACTGATATAATTCGTATTATCGTTACAAAGGAGGAGCAACCCTACCTAGAGAATAAAACACGATGGCATATAACGTAATTACATACAAAACTCATGTCCAAAACCCAAACCTACCCATTAGTACTAATACTACATGATTTTTCATTAAGTGTATACCGTTCTACTACAAGAAAACACCTCATAACCCATGGGAAAAAACCGTCGGAAAGAAGTCTAAACGACGGGTTTCCGACGGTTTTAAACCATCCGTTCTAGAGCATCGGAAAAATAATTACTTAGAACAAATAAAGAAAGAACACATCTCTTTCTCTTCTTACATCTCAATCTTCAACCTTGGTCCTATAAAAGCACTGTTTCTACCTCCTCACCTAAATCTCTCAACCGGAAATAAAACTCTCCGGCCGCTCTAAGCAGCTTGATCGCCTGCGGCGGATTCAGAACTTCCACCACTTTCCCCACCGTCACACACCGGAGCTGATCAGCGTTTTTCATTGTCTCCTTCATCTCCCTCTTCAAAACCTCCATGGCCTCCTCTATTTCCAACTGCTCTGAGGTCTCTCCATCGCGAAACCCCAACGCCCCGATTCGCTTAAATGGAACCATCAGAGGTGGATCTCCCACGCTTTGTTGTAGAAGCGCGAACGTACCCATCAAATCTTTCTCCCTCCGTTTAGTCTCCGACCGGATGTTATCAAGTTGGTCTTTCTGCTGGCACGTAAGGTCGTTAACAGAAGTGGTTATGAGTTTGAAAACCATACCTGGTTTGAAACCTCCGATCCAGAGGATGAGTTTCTCGTATGAGCTGAACCACGGTGGGGAGAAGAATTCGAATACATCGTCTCCGGCGACGGACATGGCGGCTGATTTCTCTTGGTAGTATTGGAGACAGTGAGAGAGAAAGTTGGCCACAAGAGTTTCTTCTTCTACCGGAGTGACACAGGTGGTTCCATCAGGAAGGTGTGCAAGTTGTTGGACAAATTGCCTATGACGGCGAAGCCAGTCATTGAAGAAGGTCCCGAACGTTTTAGAGCTGGTGATTGGCATGACTCATGTACAGCTTTAAGTGAGTGAATGTATAGAGAGTAGACATGAATGTGTGTCTTTGTAAACTTTGTATGACAGCATATTTATAGAAGGCAAAGACAGCTAGCATTTAGTACCAAAACAAAAAAAAACAAAAAACAAAAGAATATTTATAACTACACTTTTTAAAAATATTTTCTTACATAAAAAGAGAAGCATCTAGTGAGTTTTTTACAAATAAATAATTAATCAACAAAATTTGGTGCAGCTGGTTTTATATTTTTGTTGCGATTTCTCAAAGTGGATATAAAACAACGGATAATAGTTGAAAGAGAGTCATCATCTGGAGTAAAAATATGAATAATTAAACTAAATAGCAATGTTTTTTTCGTTACTATAAAAATAACAAATCTGTATGTTGAAATATTAACCAAAACTTAGGTGATTTAAACATTGAGGCATGGAATTTTTTGTAAGCTTTTTTCTTAGTATTTGTATATATATATATACCCAACAAAAATTAAAATTATAAAAATTTGCGTTTTACTATGGTGATGATTTACGTCATTATTTAACGTATTAATAATTTTTCTAGCCATCTAAAAAAATATCCGGTAAAATATTTTCGAATGTGCATGTAATCAATAAAATCATGCGTCAAGTTGCTAAAAATCACATGGAAAGTCTTTAGCAACCATTTTCGGTTATTCTTATATTCATTCAGACAAGTTAATATAGTTGGAAGTGTTTATAGACAATAGAATTAATGCCATGAAAATAAATAATTTATCCAGAAGTTAATTTGTCAAAAACTAACTTTTGATCAATTAATAACGCTTTTAATTTATTATAGTTAATAAATTTTTAACATTGAAGTGATGATATATCAGTGTTATGTTTTATCAACCCTAGAATTGATATATAATAATGTGTACATGAACATCAAAATATAAAAGATTTACCTAATCACATTGTTCGTATATTCATATTATCATATATGTAAACGAAATATGTTTATATGCATAATTTAAAACTTCCGGACAGAACGTAGAACTTCCTGTCACAAAAACAGTTATCATAACCCGCAAAAATAAATATTCAAACCGCAGGTGAAGAGGCTAGCATTAGCATCAGTCGATGAGCTACATACATTGAATCTAGTTTTGTCATATAAGTTTTATGTTACGAACTTAAGAAAATAAAGATTTGGGACGAGAATCTATAAAACGCATATTCTTTTCTTCTTCCGGAATCAAAACGCTTGTCCTTTATATTTTAACTTACTTCACAAGAAATAATATTATACTATATAAACACAGTCGTAGTCATTAAGAAACAAAAGACATTGAATGTAGCGTTTGTCGCTAGCTGTAGTGAACTTGGAAAGTGGAAACATTGTACTACGTAACATTTGAGGAAGGAAAAAAACACCTGGAATTGTGTTAATGATTCATCACTATACTACTATTCAAAGAACTCTTTTTTTTTTTCTTATGAAAAATAAAAACGATGAAATTATTCAAATAACTCTTTGAGACAGCTACAAAATAACATGCAATTATATACCCACCAAATATTAAATAAAAATATCGTAAAATATATTTTGTTAATATGTCGTTGTAAGAAGAAGGATATGATATCTTTTGTTTGTTAAGTTGAAAATGTATAAGCAAATTTTACTTATTAAGAAATTATGAAAAACTGACAGGATGCTAATTTTTTCGTTTCCCTCCACCTGAAGAATTAGGTTTCAAGACAGGAGTGATTTGTCAGATGATTATGTATTTAGGTTGTACTTATGGGCCAAACATATTCACAACAACTTTAGGCTTCAAATATGAGTTTTCTATGTATCTCCGTTTTAACCCATTATCGTTATATTTCTCTTTTTGTGGTTGTTTAACAAAAAGTTCAAAATAATTTAAATTCCAAATTACCAAAAAAAAAGGTGATTTTGTTAAGATAAAGCTTTACTCTATTAATGATCACATGGAAAACAAATGTTTTAAAAAAAAAAATAGAAAACAAGTATTATTGTTATTAACGTTTAGACTAATATTTTAGAAACTAATGTTTTAGAAATTAAAATCTGCGCCATGCATAGGCACGTTGAATATTTTTCGTTTTCATACTATAACTTTAAGTTTTATAATTCCTAATATGATATGTGACATTAGATATGTTTAAGCACAAAATGTTTTTTAGAAAACGTCAAAGTAGAAGAAAAATAATGAAACAAAGTCACAGAGAATTAGAGAGGACTTCAAAATTTGGAAAGGAATACTTTATAAAAATGGAAAATAAAGTATAAAAAGAATTAAACTAATAGAGATGGTTAAAAAAAACAATTAGAGACGACTAAAAATAAATTATGAGGATATAGATGAGAAAAATACTATATAGAATAACAATACTAATTAGAAATTCTAAAAAAAAAATTGTACATATAAATTAAAATGAAATAATCATAGATAAATATAACTAAACATTAATAGTACCATATAGGTTATTTTAATTAAAATGTTATATATAATATCATATGATGTTTTTTTTTAGAATTTATATACTAAAAACTAAACATGAATTTAAACCTGAATTAACTAATTTAAAAAATATCAATTGTGAAATATATTTTCCGGGCGTAGCCCGGATTTTCCCCTAGTTCTATAAATAGTTAAAAAACGTCAGAGAAAACATAACTAAAAATCAGTCTAGAAATATAAGAAAATAAGGTTGAAATAAAATATACCTGAGGTTCCCGAAATATACCACAAGGGAGACGGACTTGGACGACTACTCACGATTCTCACCCTGACCTTGGAAAAAGGAGAAAAAAGGGGGTGAGTATAGAATTACTCAGTGAGAGGATCATTTCCGCCTGCTGGAAACACAACGACACGATTCTACTTTTAAATAAAAATCAACAACCACATAGAAAAAAACACAACACTCATATAGCTTGCATCACTATGAAAAACTATAACACAAAACTCATTCTTGCCTTAGTAAAATCTCCACATCAAAACCAAGTTCAATCATCTCTTATGACCTTTGAACCTATCTAGTTCTACTGGACGCGTCAGTCTATTATTGAGCTACAAAGAGTCCGTCAATTCAATGTAGACCATTTTCCACTTTTCCACTATTTATCATCTGAAATATGGTAATTCCACTTCCTCCTATAACGCATATAATAACTTGTCATCACAACGACATTAACTCAATCATCATATATCACTAAAACAATCATCATATCATCAATCCTAATTAACAAGTTATTACTACTAAGCAAACACATCTAATCCTATACATGTGAATCATGAAGCATAAGAGTAGAAATTTGTAATCGCATTTCCGCAGATCACACCCTCACCTGACTTTAGAATGGAACAAGAACTGGAAGAAAAGATGAAACACCTAGACAAGATCTGAAACTTGTAGCACAAAAAAACAGCACAAAGACAGATTATAGTTTCTGCATTTTTTACAGAACATGCCATTCTTGCCAATAAACAATCCACGTGGCAGCTAGGGTATACCTTTTTAGTGACTACGTAGGCTCAGGTGGCTTCCCTGACACTTCCTCTATCAGTCTCCACTGTCGAACATGCTTACTTTTCTCAGGTGTCGCTGGAATATACTCTCCAAAACTTTAGGTTGAATCTGAAAATCGTAACGAATAACTTTTGGTTGTTGTGTCAATCTTTAAACACCTACTTGAAATAGTTTTCATCCTTCATCTACTAAGATATAAGAATGTGATGGTGCTGATGAAGACGTGAGTGGATGCGGTGAAGACGATGCTATATACATATATACATACACACGTTTAGTTTTTTTTTAGTCGAGATGGGCCTTTGGGGGGGCTGAATTGGGTCCCACGTCTTTTCTCGGTCCGTGGATCCACCATCTTCCGACAGTTGGTCCGCTACGTTCAGGAGGCATTAAAGACGAGTTTAATGATCCTATAAATCACCACATGATCTTTTTCAGTGTTTTATCCCCACTCACACAGTTTCGAGAATCAATTCTCGGAAGGTCACTCATCCTGAAATTGATCCAGCTCAAGCACCCTTACCTGCGGAGTTCGCTCAGGACAGTTAACCAAAACAATAAGTGCAATTTGGTGACATAGATGGCCAAATCAATTCTTTTTAACATCTCCGCATGCACTACCATATTCTTGAAACTGGGTCTTAGAATTCACTGCCACTAATAGATCGTAACGTCCTCGTTGCAAACCAAGACTGTCACCCCTCTACGGTGTGAGCTCTCTTGACTCAACACTCGACTGGGTTCGGCTCGGATACCACTTATAACGCCCTAACCGCCATTTTTTAATGGGCCCTACGTCCTCTTTCAGTCTGTGGGTCCACCATATTCCGACGGTTGGTCCGTTACGTCTGAGAGGCTTTAAAGACTTGTTTACCAGCCCTAAAAATCACTACATAATATTATTTTATGTTTTGTCCTCACTCACACAGTTCCGACAATCACTTTCCGGAAGGTAACCCATCTTTAAATTGCTCCAGCTCAAGCATCCTTAACTGCAGAGTTCTCTCAGGACAGTTGACCAAAAAGATAAGTGACCAAATCAATTCTTTTAAACCTCTCTGCATACACCACCATATTCCTAACACCGGGATGTTACAATATTGTTCAAACCAAGTTGGGTTAAATCACCTCAATGCATTACTCATTAATGTTTTCTTAAAACAACATGACCCTAAAATTGACATAAACCCTTAGCAAAATATATGCGTCTTACCTCGTTTCTTTGATTTGGATGATAATTCACTCTTTTTTAGCAGGATCATATGGCAAATCATCGATACTGGTGTTGGATGTTGAATGAGTTTTTCTTTTAAAATATTTTTCAATCGATTCCATTGATTACCTATAAAAAATATGTAATCAATTATATAAATAATGAAAACTCATATAAGAAAGTATGTTGTAACACTAAATTAAATTATATAAAAGTAACTAGATCACACCCGTACTACAACACAGGTTGAATTTCATTTAGTACATTTTCTTTTTTATCTAGTTTAGGAATTGGCGGAGGTAAAT